AAAAAACAAAACAAAAACCTGTGTAATGTCTACGTTGATAGCAACACCTATATAATTACATTTATAATTCTAAAATTATCATGTCAAATTAATTGAAATAAAATAATTGAATGATTAAATATTCATTATTTTCACGACTGGTATAAACGAATAGTTTACCACTTATTGGATAAGATTCCTTCAAAAATAAGCAAATCTATTTGTATCAAACAAAAGTTACATCAATCCATTCTATCGAAATCCAGAAAAATAATTCAACCAATAAAGTTTCGAWAAACAATAACCATATAGACATATGTATAGGTGCTCTCCCTAAATGTGCGCTTTGAATTTACATGTGAAATCTTGCAAACAGTTAAGTTAAAAGACAGACCTTATACATTATATAATATGTGGCCTGATCAACAAGTCACAAAATCTGACACAAAATAGCCTTATATAACTTATATTTTTAATCGCTTAAGTATATTTATCACCTACGTTATTGAATGATGACATACATTTTTATTTCCCTGTATGCMTTGGCGAAWGCGTTGGTATTATACTATTATTTAATAAATTTCTCTGGTCCAAAGTAATAAATATTGAGATCATTTAGACGGCTTGCTATCATGATTTAAGTTTAAAGACTTTGAAAAGGGTGCATTTAATTAAACTCAATTGTATTTAACCACTCAAATTAGTGCAGATGTGCCTCGATACTTGATGGATTTCGGTAGAATCGAACATAATCGGATGATGAGTGACATGTCTAACACAGARTTATTGAATAAATAATAACCTAATAGGTTAGAACAATTTTTGTCCATTTGGCAGACCCGCGTTTTGTGCGAAAATGTTTAAACATTAGAAATCGGAAACTGTGTTTTAAGYCGTTGATTTTGTTAAATCATAAAAAATTACTCCCTTAGTCCAGTATTAATAAATTAAGACATATTAAAGTGAATTTTTTTTTCACGAGATAGTCACAATCTATTCGAAAAATTGATTTAATACTTTTTCTCGTTCTCAAAATGTTGACAGCTAAGTTTTATAACATAATATCGTGAGAGTAAGGGTAATTCACACTCAGTTATGTTATCAATATTCTAAACGAAACTAATAAAAATGAGCTCCCGATTTCGTTCGTTGATTTGGAACTCACCCAAATTCACCAAGCTATTTTTTGTACAAATTCTATATAAAATACAATAAATAAAAACGGGTAAGTAAGTGGATGTCGCTCTGCAGTACAGTAGGTTACAAGTAGTGGGTTACTGTAATAGATGGTATTACATTTGAATTCAATGATGTAATATCATTGTATACGAAAAACGATTCTGAGTGGAGACGGTTATGTAGTTATGTTATACTATATTACTTAAATTGTTATAATTTCAAAAAAAAAAAAAATCGTCGTCGTAATTATTTAATATTGTAAAATCGTGAAATCGTATGATTTTTCTCCTTTAACCACTTTTATTTCGAGTACTGTTTCGAAAATCGAAAAATAACCTTTTTAAAGTACCAGTTCAAGAACATCATTACCTTTCAGAAAAGATGCGACACTTGATACTTTTGAGCAATTTTAGAGAGAGAAAAAGTATTAACAGAATAAAAAAGAGAAAGAAATAAACATCATTGTAAAACCAATAAATTCCTCGCTGACCTCCGMTCAGAATCCAAAATTGAGGAGCCATATAAACCTAACCTATTTTGAACCTTCCAAATCTTAATACACCCCTTCCCCCAATACGTGTAAAAATAGTAAAATAATATGACAACAACCATCCGGTTGACGACCACCTGCACTAAAGCTTTTGGCCATCTACCAGTATATATGTGCCCCGCGCTGGAGATCCAACAACCWCCTCCCGAGAATGTCAAATCTACAAAGGATTTTAACGCCTTCATTATTATAGCAAAACAATACTAAAAACAAATATTTCAAAACCAAATGTAAGTTACAGCCAAGTAGTAAATGAGGGAAGATTGATACTCTTTATTGATAAAACACTTCATAATTTCCTAATTTAGCCCGAAATCCATCTAATCTACAACTACAACAAAAAATAAAAATTTTCTTTCMACTAATTTATCTAACGATTACGAAATAGCATTGAAATAATTGCGGTTAGTTTTTTTCAGAACTTAATTCAAATTAATATTAAAGCCTGAGGATCTCATTCATTACCWATAAYTGTGTCATTAACAAAATTATGAAAGATGGACAATAATCAATCTRATGTAAATGTATTAAAAATATAGCTTTAGAATGCTAACGGTCTAAAACAATAATTATAATACCTAATAATACCTAATAATTATATCATGATCGATTCCAATCCAAAAAATTCGTCTCCTTTCACATATAGTTCATATTATAATTGTATATAGGTACTATTTTATTATCAAATTTTCTTAGCATGACATAGATCGTTAATTTTCCAATTAAAAAAATAATAATAATAATACATGTTTATTACTTAATACTAGTAATACTAATTAGTTAAGGTATATTACGTTCAAAAGAATGAATGAGACATACGTAAATTCAACTAAAAAAATTGTTCTATATTACATATAACTTATAAGTGATAACATTTTGTGCTTGATGTAGATTATACGACTCTACCTCGGTGGTACTGTTCCGACACTGCACTACACTTCATTCGGTTATGATATATGGTGCTGATTCACTTTTKTATGTATACTTAATTTTTAGAAAATATGGAAAATACCTGRCCCAGTTTATGTTGGACCCATGTTTTTTCCGGTTGTTTTTGTATTGCTTCGGTGTACTTCCAGTAGCAATGTAACGACAATATAGTTACGATCTCGAAAGAGACACCTATAATGAGAAACTATAAATAAACTGTCATAGACTAAATAGTTTTAAATTTTTTCGATAATCGATAAATATTATACGCAATTTAATATATCATATCATTACACATATTTTAGAAATTCCGTTAAAGTAATATCACTACTAATAATGCTAAGTTTTTTTTAGTTTTAAATAGGTAACTTAAAATTATGTTTTTATTAAGTGCATAATATTCGTGTCTAAGTTTARTKATGTATATTATTCTAACTATATTAGTGTATTAAACTATATTTATAATATGCATAATATGCAAAAAAAAATACTTACTACTTAGTATACTTACCCAGAAGRCATATAAGAAATTGAACGACTTTGACAAAAATCCAACTCGATCTAACAAAACGTTTATAATATTATCACGTTAAAATAACTATATGTATGTATTATATTGAGATGTAAGACAGTATAATTTTTAGAATTTATCCTATTTATTGKCAATGATTATGCCTATTTAATATATTATATATTATCAATTTAAACAAAACTTACTTAGATCTATGAAAAATTAAATGAATTATGTCTACACTGCATCCGAACCCCGTTATAAGTATTGCTTTATGTATATGACTTGTTCTTCCCTAAATAATATAGGAAGGTATATTCATCTGAGTTATTAATTGTTTTTAATGTATGAGATAAAATACAGCTTATTACTGTTGTGATTGCTCCAATGGCGTAAACGGATCCAATGTAATTCACCATATTTATTATTTGAAACATCGTCAACACCTGGAGTAAAATTATCAAAAATATGTATGTTTAGTGGGCTATATGCCTATATTATAAACAATCATTCTGTGAACGAAAATTTAATATAGGTATAGTGTTTAATAACATGCTGAAGAACACATCATCCAGAGTCGGTAAAAATAAATTATTGATTATATAATATTATACTATTTACAGGTGAAACCATCCCTCCTGTTCTTAAAAATTCTTAACTTTTGGATTAGAAGTTTGCGAATTCCAAAAACAAATTATTTACAAAATATTGATTTGTGGTGACGGAGTGAAGGTGTGGGGTAATTTTGCTGACAGTCGAGTAGAAAATATGACTGCGATAATGTAAATTATTATATAGACCAAAACAGTATGATTAAATAGTTGTACCAGGCATCCGACTGCTATCATGAGCGTATACTTTGTGATCAAATCTGTTGGAAGTTTCAGTTGATAACTTATCATTTTGTTTTTCATAAAACTAATACTTATATTATTTATGAAGTAATTGGTCTTGCTATAATTTTT